ATGATAACTTTAAATGTCCAAAATTTCTTTATCAGAAAATAAATAAAAGTGAGAGTAACCGAAACTTTCTTGAAATGTTTTTTTTTATTAATATATTTTATTGATTTTTTACAGAGAGGAAGGGAGAGGGAGAGTTAGAAACATCGATGAGAGAGAATCATCGATCAGCTACCTCATGCACACCCCCCACTGGGGATGTGCCCACAACCAAGGCACATGCCCTTGACCAGAATCGAACCCGGACCCTCCTGAGCCAAACCGGTTTCAGCCTTGAAATGTTTTGATCTGACAAACTTTGAAGTCATCCAAGAAGTAAATTTTTAGGTCCAGATGATCAAATAACAGTCTTCTGGATTTCTCTAACTTCGTACAGGTCAGGCCACTATACTTTACACAAACTATAAAATGGTCTGTCATTATTAGGGGGGGGGGGTATTGAAACAACAAACAGAAGGTTCAATTGGGGGGGGGGGGTGTCCCTCAATCGGGGCTGTGTTCATCTAGAATCCCATCGTGGCCCGCCCCTCACACAGAACAGAGGCTTCTGAGGTGCTGGGCCGTCTCCCAAATCAGATGGGTTTCATTACATTTTCCTTCTCTGAAAACTGACCATCCAGGAAACGACAGACCCTGCTGTTTGATTAATTTGTAAAACCTGCTACCACCTGTGCCGAGAGATAATTAAAGTGCTTTTTCAATAAACTGATTTTGGATCGGTGCCTATAACCAGAGAAGGGAGGTATCACATACGATGCACATACGTAACTTTTTAAAGCAATCTGTTGTCATGACAATCGGTATGGAATATCTGCTACTCTGTTTCCCCGAAAATAAGACAGTGTCTTATATTTTTTCTCCCAAAGTTGCACTAGGTCTTATTTTCAGGGGATGTCTTATCTTTCCATGCGCTAGGTCTTATTTTCGGAGGATGTCTTATTTTCAGGGAAACACAGTATTCACAGGGCATTGATCTAATACTGTAAATGCTAAGCTCTAACTCCTGGAATGGAGGAGTGCCCACCTAACTCATCGGACGTTTTTCTGTAGGAGAAATTTGTCTCTACAGCCATCCATGCAGTCATTTATCTACAGCCGCGCACATCGGAGCGAGCGGTCAAACTCCCGGTTTCCCGGTCGAACTCCCGAGTGGACGCTTTGCATATCAGCCTTTTATTATGATATAGGAGGATTCTGGGTTACAACCCAACGCTATGTTATTTGTTTTCTTGTCCCGGCTCTGGCCAATGGGACCAATTTCAGGTTGGCTCCAATATCCCTCCGACACGCCCCATCCTTTTGTTTTGAATGTTTCATTACTTTCTTCTCCTCCATGTTTTTTGTCAGAAAAAAAAAAAAAAAAAAAAAGGCCTTACTTAAAAAAAAAAGGCTGTTATGGGTTGAATTGTGTCCCATCTCCTCCAAGCCATGTTCAAGTTCTGGCCACCGGCATCTGAGATGTAATTACTAAAATGAGGTCAGTCTGGGGTAGAATGGGCCCCTCGTTCAATACGAACAGCGTCCTTATAAAAGGCGGGGATCTGGGCACCGAGAGCACACCCGCAGAGCACCATGTGACATCCAGGCGATGCTTCTTCGGGCCAACGAATGTCAAGAAATGCCAGCAAAACAGCAGATGTGCGGCGAGAGCCAGGTGACAGCCCTCAGACGGAGTCAACCCTGCTGACACCTTGATCTTGACCTTCCAGCCTCCAGGAGGGAAAGAAAATGAATTCCTGTTGTTCCTCAGCTGTTGCTCTGCCATGGCAGTCTCTGCAAACTACCATGTTTCCCCGAAAATAAGACATCCTCCGAAAATAAGACCTAGCGCATGGAAAGATAAGACATCCCCTGAAAATAAGACCTAGCACAACTTTGGGAGAAAAAATTAACATAAGACACAGTTTTATTTTCGGGAAAACGGGGTAGTAAGGAGCTAATGCCATGGAACTCCACATTCCCACGAAAAACAATCCATAAGTGTGGTATCCAAAGCAGCAACAACGTCCTATCCAACACCTAAGAGCACACTGGCAGTCAGGGCACGCACGTCGGGCACGCACAGAGCGTAGGGGCAGCGTTTCCAGATCCCCCCTTTTCCCTGCAGAACGTTCGGCCACCTGCAGCGCGGCTCAGAGCGCTCCCTGCCAGGCGCACCTGCGAGGACAAGCAATAACCACCCATCTAGCGTAATCACCGTCTTCAACATGCTAAGTGCCGGCTCCGTGGGAGCTGAGCGTTCCCCAGGTGCCCCGCACAGCAAGCCTGCAAGGAGCTGACACCGGAGACCCAGCCGTGGCGTGTGTCAGGTTGGCATTTCTGGTCCCTGTTTAACGACTCACTCTGCCCCACTTCCATCCTCCCTCAGACACGTCAACAAGGGGCCCGAGGCTTAGAATGGAGCCGAATACCACACCATTAGAAGCCATATGAATATCGGACAGTCACCTAGTATTCAGTACCCTCCGCTCTCTGAGAAGAGAGAAAGGGACTTGCTCTTACAGAGGTAAGACATGGGAGAGGCCGGCTAGCATCTGATCTGGCACCTCACACCCCATCCAGGGACCTTCCTGGGGGTGAAGTCCAAGCCCCCGGGTGGGTCCATATGGGAATTTTTTTCTTTCCTCCGTCAACCTGGGGACGAGGCGCTGGCAGCGGCAGCCCAGGATCTCGAGTAATTGTGTGGAAGTCATTTTCATTACCCGGGCTCTGGCTCGTCTGCGTTTTTATGCCCACGTTAAAAACCTAATGAAGTCATTACGCCCGGGCCAGCGCGGCAAGCCTCGCCTGAGTGTGCATCCCTCCTGCAAGCCCCAGAGCTCTGCTATAATCCCTCAAATTATTAAATAATTACCACGTCTCCCTTGGGTCACGCTTGGCAACAAAACACCGGTCTAAACGAACCGACGATGTGACCCAGTGAATAACACTTAATGTTCTTAACCTCCCCCGGCAGCAGAAGGACGAGAAACACTTCCGAGGTCCAAGGTGGGGGATACAGGAAGGGGTATTCTGCGGGGTCTGGAGGGTAGGGTGTCAGCAGAATGACAAAGGAGAGAGAAAATCTGGGAAACAGTCCCATCACTGGTGTCATCTCCTCTCCCACCAGCCCTGTCTGTCGGCAATTCTCCACTCTGATCCTAGTTCCCTTCCAGGTTTCTGGAGGGGCTACGGCCACCAGAAGAGAACCAGGCATATGGCCCCGTCCTTCTGGACGGCTCTGTCCTTCTGGACGTCTCCACAACGCTTGGCTGGGCTGCTCTGGAAAATCCCATTCCGTCTCGTCTCCGACAGCTCTGTGACCTCAAGTTGTCATTTCCAATCACGCAGGCCTCCGCCGATTTTTATGAACATAGACAAAAGCGGCTACAACCATTTCTTCCCCCTCCCCGATCCTTCAAACCTACTGTAGTTGCTATGTGAGGTTATTTGTCTCTAAGGCAACGGCGTATATCTAAGTACTAATGGCCTGTCCTTTTGCCAGGCAACAAACAGCCTTGTGATGCAACTGCACCTGTCTCGGCTACGCGTTACTATGGAGACGGCTCTGGTTGCTATGGCTACATCACGCTAATCGCCTAGCAGAGGCAGACATACAGCGGTCTTCTCGGAGAGCCCAGCTGTTCCTCTCCGTCTCTCGCCGAAGACTGATTGTCTACCCTGTGATGGAATGCTCTCCGCTGGGATGTGCAGGAACTTCATCAACGCCCTTCCCGAGCATCCCTCTGCTCCTCTCCGCAGAGCACAAGGCCAGGGAAAGGAGCTGTAGCGCCGTGGACCACAACACTGCCGAAACCTATAAGTCACACCGTGTCTCACCGACACACACCTGCAGTCCGAGGACAACTGCTCTTCACCGGGTGGTCACAACGGAAACAATACCAGACGTGAAAAATTAGGCTTTTACCCTAGCTCAGTGGTCGGCAAACTCATGAGTCCACAGAGCCAAGTATCAACAGGACAACAATTGAAATCTCTTTTGAGAGCCAAATTTTTTAAACTTCAAAATAGACTCGCCCAGGCCGTGGTATTTTGTGGAAGAGCCAAAGAACCGCATGTGGCTCGAGAGCCGCAGTTTGCTGACCACTGCCCTAGCTGGTTTGGCTCCTCCCCAGCCGGGGCCCTGGTCAGGCTCATGCAGAAGGCAGCCAATCGTCATGTTTCTCTCACATCGATGCTTCTCTCTGTCTTTTCCTCTCTCTTCCACTCTCTCTAAATATCAATGGGAAAATATCCTCGGGTGAGAATAAAAATAAGTAGATTAATTCTTTTTTGTAGGATTGAGGGCTCTATTTCAAAGCCAAGCACTATGCAAGATAAAATCAATTTTAAAAGTTGGTTCTGTTCTATATGGCTTAAAAAAAAAAAATCTTAACAGGAATAACACATTTGAAAAGTAACAAGCTACACATCCTCTGCTCCACTAAATTCTATCATAGTTACTTTGTAAAGAGGGCTCGGGGGACCTCCCTGCCACAACCCAAACAAACGGGCGTGTGCGGGGGAACAGAAGTCTCCATGGTTCTCTACGCCTGGCTTTGAGGAGGCAAACACCAAGTAACCACAACAAAACGGTCCCTCAGGAGCCGTCCACACGGCGACCAGAAGGACAACAGTGGGGAGAGTCCCGCAGTGGCCACTGTCGGCACTCCGGGTCGGAGGACAGGAGTCAGACCCCTTACGCGGCTCATCTGTACTTTTATAGCAACAAACCAAGGCACGCTGAGAAGTCAGAGCCGTCAACTATTCCTGGTTCACGTGTCCACCCTGGAAGGCGGTCTCCCACCCGCCCCGAAGCCTTTGGAAAACCCGTCCCGCCAAAGCAGCAGAAGCGGTAAGGTTTGCAAGAACCACCGCAGGGGAGGTCCCGATAAGACTTCCTTTCTTTCTCATTTGCCTATTTTAAAAAGCGCGCAGTCTATGAAATTAGTCTCAGCACCGGTCTCTGCCACGATAAGGCAACTTCTGCAGACAAAAAGAAAAAGTAAAGGTGAACTGCTTACCTTTGATATGCCTGAGGAGAGGCGGGCGGTGTGGTGAACACGTGGGGGTGCGGGTGATAAGGTGTCTTTTTCAGAGCCTGAATTAGATTTTGTCTGTACTCCGGGTCTATGCACCACAACGACCCTTTCCCAATGCTCTGCAGAGAAAATGAAAAGACGACGGTGGTTAGTACAGAAAGTATTGTTCTGTACGAAGTAGGTGTGTAGCTGGTATCACAGTTACTTATTTAAGAAAACGAAAATATAAAAGTGAGTAGCACAGAAAATACTATTTTGCATGAAGAAGATAGCTACTATTAGTCACTATTTTTTTTAAGCCTCTCACTCATTTGTCAACTGTTTCCCAGCCGTAAATAACGTAATGTTATGCTCGGACAACAGGAACCAGAACTTGCACTTCCTTGAACTCGTGTGAAGCCTGGCAGACAAGAGGGGCACGTTATTAGCAGGTGAGGCTGCGGCAAGAACATTGTTATGTTCCTATCCTAATGGCCACAAACACTTAGATTCCTTTACTATTTTTCCGTGTCAACTTTGAAGAACATGTATTCCCTTCTAAAAATTAGTTTTATTTATTTATTTATTTATTTATTTAACATATTTTATTGATTTTTTACAGAGAGGAAGGGAGAGAGATAGAGAGTTGGAAACGTCGACGAGAGAGAAACATCGACCAGCTGCCTCTTGCACACCACCCCCTACCGGGGATGTGCCCGCAACCAATGTACTACATGCCCTTGACAGGAATCGAACCTGGGACCTTTCAGTCCGCAGACTGATGCTCGACCACTGAGCCAAACCGGTTTCGGCTAAAAACTGAGTTTTAAATGTCAGATTTGAAACAGTGCAAGAAAAACAAGAATAGTTGTTGTTTTTTAAACCCCGTTACAGTGGTACTACTTTGCAAACCCAGGAAAGTAATCTGCTTCTTTTTCCTACTAACTCATAAAAGTATGACCTGTACGCTGGAGGTGGGGTTCCGTAATTCTCCTGCGAGAACCAGAGGTGCTGGGGCCGCGGTGACCCTAAACCAGCCCGCACTTTTCTTCCCACTCCTCTGTCCCCAGCGCTCGGCTCCAGGCCTAACGGGGTTGTCTTTAGCGTCTGACGTTAAAATGCAAACTTTATAAAACTGTTTCCATGGACTGAGGAAGACTTGCTGAGACCCACTTTCTGGGGGAGGCTTTTGGTCTGCAGAGAGCGTTTTATTAAAAAAAAAAAAAAAGTCTTTCCCGCCCACGGGACTGGCAGCTGGCCGACGGGCAGTCGCTGCTCCGACTGCTTTCAAATGACCGAATGTACCCAGGCTGTTTGATAAGGTCGTTTGTAAATATTTACTGATTTGGAGAGAAAAGAAGTCAAATTACATCAACCCATGCCCACCCCATGCTTCCAGCCAACAGACTCTCTTATTTCCAGAACTATTGTGCTCCGGGAAGATTTAGAGAGCAAACAAGAAAACCGCTTAACTCTTACTGGGGAGTGGGTACGGGAGCCCGAGAAAATCTCTCAGGAAAATAAGTGTGTCTGAAAATCTTTAAAGAAGCTTAAAAGTATGTGTATTTCAGTCAGTTCCCCAAATCACTGACTTACAAACTCATTCACAGAAGGCATTAGAATTCTTTTCTAGCAGCACCGTCAGCAGGCAGGGGGACTGCCATTAAGGCTTGCTGGTTGCTAAGGAGAACTGTTCAAGGCCAAAGTCAGAGGCAGGAGCCCCTCACCCCAGTCACAGGCTCCCCGGCACAGCCCTGACCCCAAACGCAGGTCGCTCAGACCCAAGTTCCCAGCTTAATTCCCCCACTGTTTAATAAGATTTCAACCTGGGGAAAACCCAACATCCCTTTGTGGCCTTTTCCTTCCTGTGTCCATTTCCAAGCCCAGAGCGTGCATGTCAAACTCACGGCGGGCGGGCCACAAACAAGGCATGCGGCCCGCCAGTCACAGGTCTGACATGCTTGACTGAGGAGACGTTATGGGTGAAGCAGTTAGGCCACCAAATGATCTACGGTGGACCCTCTGTTCTTTCCTTTGAAAAGACACACTCAACTCACTTTTTAAAAGAAAGCGAAAAGCTAAGGGATGGGGAGGTAGGGGAGGGGTCAGAGTAGACCATAACAACTGAATCTGAATAACGTTAAGCGAAGCACAAAAGCCCCGAGAGCCAGTAACTCCTGCGCAGTGGGGACCTGCCCTGACCGAATCCAAGACCCAGTAGGACCTGCCTTTCCGATCCACTTGAACACAAGGCCCCAAGCCAGCTGCCTGGAGGGCCTGGGCTCACAGGCAGCCCAACCATTTCTGCAGAGAGAGGATCTGAGCCCTGGGAGCCTAGTGGCTTTTGTTTTTGTCCAGGTGGCTTCCGGGGCTAATCTTACAGGGAAGAAGAAACAGGACCCAGCAAGGAGGGACTACGGACCCTCCAGGGAAGTAACAATAGGCCAAGAATGCGGTTTCTCCTAATCCTGGCCTGAGCAGCTTGTTTGCCCTATCACCACACTATTTACAAACTAGAGGGACAGGCCACAGGATGGGGGGTGGGTTGGGGGTGGGAATGAGGTTTCACAAGGTAACTGACCTAGGTGCAAGAAGCGGGCAGGGTTATGATAAAAACAGAAGCTTAAAGAAGCTTAAAAATATGTGTATTTCAGTCAGTTCCCCAAATTCTGGAGCTCGACATTCCCTGTGCGGCCCTGGGCAAGCCAGGGTCCCGCAGCAAGTCTTGGCTTCCTCATTGGCAAAACAAAGGCCCGAGAGACTGGTGGAGGCCAGCGATGGCCTGTGAAACGCCTAGGGGAGGGGCAGCACCTGCAGGTCCCAGTAAATGCTGACGCCGCCATGAACTTCTCCTTTCTGACAGAAGGAGAGCAGAGGTGGCTGTGCGATGCTTCTCATTACATCACCTCCGAGTCCCCCAAAACTGCCCATCCTGAAAGCAGCACCACATTCTTTTTCTTAAATATATTTTATTGATTTTTTTTTTACAGAGAGGAAGAGAGAGGGATAGAAAGTTAGAAACATCAATGATAGAGAAACATCGATTCAGCTACCTCCTGCACACCCCCCACTGGGGACGTGCCCGCAACCAAGGTACGTGTCCTTGACCGGAACTGAACTCAGGACTCTTCGGTCCGCAGGCCAACGCTCCATTCACTGAGCCACACCGATTTCGGCACCACATTCTGTTAGTGGCAGTGGGCAGGGCCTCCAGCAAGCTGGTGGCAGGAGAAGGCAACAGTGTACTCATGGATGCAGTTTAACAAATTCACTTGGAGGATCTTTCCCCCTCTTCTCAGATCTGCCTGCCCCCCACCCCACCCCACTATTCCATCAGCCTTCTCTGCACCCCTCACTCCGTGTCTCCTCTGCTGCACCTTCTCCCTTGCTCAGGAAGCCAGTCTGGCTCCCAGTAACCTAGCTGCTGGAAGTCGTCTTTGGCCCGATCTTTGCACAGTGATCATCAAGCTGAGGTTTCACTGCAGACCTGGTCAGCGCATAGTCAAAGTTCATTCATTGGCTGCAGCCATCGGCCTGGGCTGTGGATCATGATGGTACCCACCCTGGTTAGTCCTACATTTTACAGTGAGAGGGGCCAAGAAACCTCTTTACAGACCAGACACTAATTTCAGTATGTCAGAATTTCCAAAGAGCCAAAAATGAACAAAAGCATTGCCTCTCCAGGACACTCCCACCGAGACAGCGCGACCCTGCCAATCTCGTTAGTCCCGCCAATGGCCTGACAGTGCAGAGCGCTGGGCAGAGAGCTTGGAAGACGTGGGAATGACCGGGTCTTATTTGCAAGCCTTCTCCTTGGTTTCGTGTTAGGGTTCACAATTGTAAAGAAGGTTGACTTGGAAACATTTCAGAAGGAAACACGCAGGAGAGAGTGCTCATTTCTTAGGTCAGGAGAAATTACACTTAATGGAGGGGAGAAGGTTGTAATTTTATTATCGCTGTGCAGTATGTTTGAGAGTAAGAGCTTTTAGAGGTATCTGTGTCTTATCTAAATAATATGGGCGGTGTGTGTTTTTTACCATAATAACTGTATGGGTCATGTTTCGTTGAATGTTAAGGAATTCAAAATTATAAGGGAAGAAACATGTTCATTCAAAGATACACTTTCACATTAAATATATATAACACACACACACACAGTTTGAAGAAAAAAAAAACAACTAATGTAAAGAGTAAAGGGGGAAATGAGTAATAAGATATGAAGGCGTCAACCTTTGTTTTTTAATTAAAAAGCACCTGGGGAATAGCAGACACACACATATGAAGAGCCGATATTGTAGAACTGATTAGTGAGAAATGTTTTAAAAAAGAGAGAGATTGTCTTAACCAGTTTGGCTCAGTGGAAAGAGCGTCAGCCTGCAGACTGAAAGGTCCCAGTTCGATTCCGGTCAAGGGCATGTACCTTGGCTGCGGGCACATCCCCAGTAGGAGGTGTGCAGGAGACAGCTGATAGATGTTTCTAACTCTCTACCCCTCTCCCTTCGTCTCTGTAAAAATCAATAAAATATATTAAAGAGAGAGAGAGAGAGCGAAAGAGAGAGAAGAACAACAACTACATTAAATCCTCAACCTAACCATAGTAACTTTCATTTTTCCTGAGAGCACTAGACCCAGGGGCCATCTCCCGCAGCTCAGGGACCTGAGGGCAGCACCTGGCGGTTTGCCTGGCATTGTCTCCGCCCGGGGTCTCCACCAGGTTGTGAACTCTGACCGGGTCTGAAACACCGTACACAACCTGAGGACTATGACACGTGAATGGGTCATGAAATCCATGTCATGGGTTAACAGCCAGCGTTGTTTTAATGGAACAGAACCGAACTGAACAGACTCGACTAGAAAATGCCTGGAGCCAGTGGTACTCTGTGAAACGTGTTGGTGTGTACTCATGTGCACACATGCATACGAATCACGAGGTAACAAACACTTCTAGGAATCTGGCTTCCAAAGTGTGATAAAAACACTGGCCTAGGACAGTGGCTCCCATGTTTTTTCATTTGTCATTTGTGGGAGGTATGGCCCACATCCAGCAATAATGAAGGGCTCTCTCAATGTGACACCCCATGCAGGAAGGGGCTGTGCAAGGGGAAGGGAAAAAAGGGGGCAGGACCCACATCAAAATGGA